GCTGTCTGACATGATGCAGAGAAGGAAGGTAGAGAGCTGTCTGACATTATGCAGAGAAGGAAGGTAGAGAGCTATCTGGCATGATGCAGAGAAGGAACTTTGAAGTTCTTCATCTGACATGTTGACAGCCGTCTGTCAATCATTGACTGACACACCTCTAATCTAGCAACAGGCATTCTGATTGGTCAGCTCGTGGACCTGTGAGCCCACATGGGTCACTTTCAATCTGGATCGATCAGCGACTAGAAAACATGCATCCGACATGATTGACAGAAAACCTGACAAGTTACAAAACTGTTGTTCAGCTTATTACATGAGAATAGCAACCGCACCCCCCCCCCCAATGCTGCAGACCCTTGGGCTTCAGCCCAGGTGTAAGGCCTGTTAGGTAAACGTTTTAGACATCCTTCAAGACAAGGGTGTCAAATGAAGCCACAAATTAAAACTTGGGTCCAACAAATGACCAATTTCAGGAACTACATTAACTCAAGTCTGACACCCGACAGCAGGACTTATTTTGAGCCAGATCCTGCTGGAACTGGATCCGGGAACTCTCTTATTTTGACAGGGTGCATTCTGGACCGGTAACCCTTTGCTCAGATCCTGTAACTTTTACTAATAATAAAGTTATGAATATGTCTACCTTGAACAAATAAAACTTATATTGGATATGCAATCTGAAAATAATTACATAAACACTCATTTTAAACATAACAGCCACTTACGACTTCTCATCACATACGAACTGCTCTTCAAGTAGCGTTTCCGCCTCTATCTCCCCCCCACCCAAAAGAGTGATGGGGGTGAGTGCCGAGCTAACCAGGCAGTCGTACGCGGGCAGGAGCCCAGACGGAGGAGGCGCCAGGAGGTTTCACACGTGGAGTTGGACGACGACGAGCAGGACCGTAAATTCAGCGGAGACGAGTCAGTTCGGAGCCGTCAAGTGGGGGACGTTTGACAGAAGCAGTGCGTTTACAAAAGTAGGTAAACGTCGACGTTTAACAGCCTGTTAAAATACAAAACGCAGGAAATCGCATCTACTTTATTCAGAATTTTCTGGGTTCTGGGGGAGGACCCTTAACATCAAAAAAAAAAATACTGAAAATCATTCAAGTATTTTACATTTATTACATCTTGGGGGCCAGAGACGATGTCAACAAGGGCCGCATTGTGCACTTGCTCGAAGAGGAGCCGTCAGTTTAGCCGTCTTTCATAAATCTCCTGCTTCATCCTCCCACCCCGGACCTTCTCTGCTCCAGCTACTGTCCTCAAGACGCTTCAGGACACTGAAGACAAAAACTGAGGAACCATGACTGATCGGTGCCAGGCTGGGTCTCTGTTAGCGTAATTTATTTAGCGGTTTGCAGTTCTTCAGGGGAGAAAATGTGAATTATTGGATTTGATCCTCATCAGCAGCCAGTTGAGATGTTGTGACACGAGGACACGTCTCTCCTCTGGACCAGAAGGACCGTCTTCAGTCTCTGTTGATGGGGTTCGGTCTCAGAGTTCTGGTTGGATCCAACAGACCCGCTGAAGTTTACAGTATCACTCAAACGCAGGTCGGTGTCACAGGAAGTGTCTCCTGCAGACCTGGAGGCAGACGGCAGGTGGACAGCGACGCACACTGCAGGTTTGTCCATCTGTCCAAAAGAACAGAACAGACTGGACTCTTCAGACCTGATGTAATACGTCCCAACATGAAAGACACCTGAGTCTGTCCAACTGGACTTCATGAGTTCAGTTGACTTGCAGATGGCTGGTGTCCCCCATGGAGTCCAGAACTTGGACTCAGTGTTGGACCACACCATGGTCAGTCTTTGTCCCTGGTACTGTTGGACACCCAGGATGCTTCACACACAGGGGACCCGAGGATGGACCCAGGATCCACTAGAGGACGACTTTCAAATCCACCTGTGGGTCTTTCTCTGGTTCTGAAGTCAGATCCGTGCCGAGCTGCGACTGTCGGACTCACAAAGTTCAACAAGAACTTTCGGTCTGGACCTGAACCGATCTGTCCAACAGTCCAGGTCTGGATCACAAAAACCTGAAGTCCGAGTTTAGTCCAACATCGTCCGGTCCTGCGACAGAAGAACGAGGTTCTTAGACCCAGAAGAAGGCCAGCGGTCTGGTCAGAACTGGGTCCAAACGCCCAGAAACAAACAAACAAACACTTTGTTGACTTTTAAAAAATCACGTTCAGCATCTGGACTTTATGACAAACAGGTTTAATTTAATATCTCTTTATTTTTTAAAATAATTAAACTTTTGTATTTTCAACCCTTTTTTTAAATCATCGTATATTTGGGCCATTCTACAGCACACATTAATTCGGGGGGGGAGGGGGGTCAGTGTCAAAAACAAATGAACTCCCAACAGGACGATGGAATAATCTGCCCCCCCCACCTCAGGTCTATTTCCCCCACCGCCCCTTCCCCCCCACCTGCCTCAACATCCCCCCACCCCACTTTTCCTCCACAACTAAAAATAAATTTACAGATCAAAAGCAACTTCATCAAAATGTCAAAAAAACAAACAAACAAAAAAAGATAAAAATCAATTAAAGGAGTGAGACAGAAACTGGACTAAAAGATGGTGGTGGTGGGGGGGGGGGGGGGGGACCATTGGAACCAAGAGGTCGTGATTTGTAATCCCTCTGGATTTACTGGGTTCTCCTGCAGGGATTATCGGAGCGCTGCAGTCAATAATCTACATCACCACAGCGCCCCCTGGTGGACAAAGCAGGGAGGGGGGGGGGTCCTCTTTGTTTACCCCAACAGGAGGGGGCAGGTTTCACTCTGAGGTACCAGTGCCAGACTGTTACCCACAATGCCTCCGGGTGTTCAGGGCGGGGCGGGGCTGAACAGGGGAAACTGAAGCGGAGTTCAGAGCTGGAGGAAACGGGGTGTGTTTACATGTGGTCACATGTTCGATTCCGACTCCACGTTGAGCAGAGAGCAGAACTGAATTAACGGGTGCAGAAAAGAAGAAGATCTGAAATCAGCAGGAAGTGAAATGCAGGACGAATCGGACCGGGGGCTGACACACCATCAACCATTTACGCCAAAAGATAAAAACTATTTTTAAAATTAAAATTTTTACACATTTTATCACCTAATAAAGTTTGGACCTCTCTGACCATAGGCCTTTAAAATAGTCCATGTTTAAGCCCCGCCCCCTCCCTGTAAACAGGTCATTGTTCTCATTACAAAATCAAAACACTCAGGTGTTTTTCAAGTGGGACTCATGGATTCAGGTAGTTCTTACTTTTTTTTTTTTTTTTTTAACACATCTCATGGGACACCACGATTGTAGGCGGGGCTTAAGTCTGTGCATCATTAGCGCACAGCCTCCGATTCCAAAATGACAGTATGCTCTGGCCACAGGAACTTTACAGAAGTGGCCACGTCGTTCTTTTGGAACCAGTGTCTGTGCAGTGATGATGTGAGGCTTTAAGCCCCGCCTACAATCATGGTGTCACATGACCTTTGTGTCAGAAACAGCAGCAAGAGAACAAACTGATGTACATTTCAATTTTGTAACAATAACGACCTGTTTGTTCACATGGAGGGGGCGGGGCTTAGAAACATGTAGGACCATCCTGTGTGTGTGTGGGGGGGGGGGGGGGGGGGCTGTAACCCACTCCGGGTTCCTGAATAAATGTGTTTCTTGTACACAAAAACGTGTCATAAAGAACAAGTTCTGGACGAACATTTAAAAACTTTAACGGTTCCATCTCTGGCGGTGTCGGTCCGCTGACATTCAGACTTCAGAGAAGTTCTGAACGGTTTTTAAAGCTTTAACTGCAGCCACAAGCTGCCCGAGTTCAGTTTGTTCAACACGTTAAAGCTCTGACAGGAAGTGACGTTCCCTCCTCTGGTTTTCCTCTTAGTTTAATAAACGGTGCAGAAAAACTCAAACGTTTATTTCTGTTGTTTGAGAAGCAGCTCAAAGAAACGACTGAAATCAAACTGGACTGTGAGAATAAAGAAATGAGCAAACTGAACATTTCTCATGAGCGCGCATGTAAACACACCCAATGACTTCCTGTTGAAACAGGAAGTAGATCCGGCAGACTCGAAAAGGACGAGAGGAAACCAACATGAGCAGAAGTTCGGGGTGGTTCTGAAGAGGAGTGAGATGAAGAGTTCATTCAGTCCGTCCTCTCTTTGTTTTTCTCTTCGTGTCCTACGGCTCAGAAAGGCTTGTTTTGTCTTTTGTTTAAATCCCCGTCCCAAACAAGTCATTTTCTCATTTTCTATTTTTTCTTCTTTTTTATTATTATTATTATTGTTTCATTTATCTGTTTGCAATAATATCAGTTTAAGGGAAAGAAAGAAACAAGTATTTACAGTGCTGTTGAAATAATGGAAACAGACGTGATGAATCTACTGAAAAGTAAAATGCACAAACACAGAAAAAAAAAAAAAAAAAAGCATAAAACAAAAAGGTTTAAGAAACCAGCGGACTCTCTGCGTCGACCCGGAGGCGATGGCCCGGTTCAAGAGCTCTGGGCAGACATGGCTGATGTGAGGGAGAGGAAAGGGGCGGGGTCAGAGGGGAGCGCGGTGCTGTCATCGTTAAGTTGGTATGATCCCGTCGCTCCTAAGGCCCCGCTTCAGCTCCAGGTCCTCCAGCTTCTTCCACAGCTCCTCCCGCTCCTTCTCCTTCTTCTTCTCACTGAAACGACAGGAAGAGGTCAGAATTCTGAGGGCGGGGCCACGCTGACAAAAATGCCAGGCGAGAAGCACGGCAGCCATCTTGAGAGGAGCTGCGTGCGTCATTCTGTACCGTGTCTTCAGAAACAACCTCATTTCACTGAAATCAACAGTTTCATGTTTGATTTGAAACCAGGAGAAAGTCTGAAACTTAGGCTCAAATGTTTTGTCCGTATGTGACCCATAACTTACATTCATGGCAGTGTGAACGGGACAAATCAGACCTTTTCAGTTCAGATCCAGATCTTATTCATGTGTGGTCCTGAATCAGATCCACATCACGTTTTTCAAAGTGACCTCTCATGTCTTTAAAGTTTTATTTTTAAAACAATTTGTTTTCTTTGTTCCAACATACAGAAATACCAAGTGTCCTGCTTTAAACATTAAGGCAGACTAGTTCAGAGAGCAACAACCCCTGGTAGAAAAAAAAAATAGCACCAAACTAATAATTATAACTTATAAAGCTTAAAGCCATGAATTCCTTTGTCCGAGTTCAGTTCATCTCCTCAGATATTTAGGATCTGCTGATGCCTGTGGCTCCTACCAAGATGGCGGAAAAGTTTGCTCCTCATTAGCATAAACAGCTCTGGTGTTGGTCATGTCAGCGTTTGAATGAACGGTGTGTCGGTGCTGTCGACAGGTGACTTCTTACCGCTGGCGGTCCGACTTGTAGGTGGCTGTGAGTTCATCAAATAAGGTACTGTTCATCTCCATGAAGGCCTTCAGGACGTTGTAGACAAGCGCCACGATGGCTCTGAGACAGGAGAGACAGACAGCTGAGTGAGACCATTGACAGACAGACAGACAGCTGAGTCAGCTCATTGACAGACAGACAGCTGAGTCAGAGGTCACAGACAGCTGAGTCAGAGGTCACA